GCTCGAGTACGTCAAATGCACGGGGAGCTGGTTTATTGAGGCTAGAATAGCTCCCTCTGAATGCAATAAAGCATCGGGCGGAAGATTGCTGTTTTGTTGTAGTTTTGAACGATCTCAAACAAACCTGAACCCCCTAAAGTGAACGGCAGCATCATCTGCTACTTCAGAACATTGAGCAACTTACTGAAAAACCCGTATGATACCTCGCTTGAGCCCCATGAGCGGCGATTTCCTTATCTACCTATTGATACCTATCTTGCTGCTTATCCCTTTCCCTCCAAATTGACAAATAAAGCAATTCCAGCTTGCAGTATCATACTGTACAAAATTAGGCAAACCTAGACGCTAAGAGAAACCTCTTCCTAATTGTTTTTGACAGATTTAGAGCAGAAAAGACCAACCTAGGCAATAACGCACAACAAAAGAATTGTATCATAAGCAGACCTCTGGTCGGAAAATAGTGGATCACCAGATCTCACACGACCACAATAATTCAAAACAACAAAACAGCAATCTTCCGCCCGATACTTTATTGCATTCAGAAAGAGCTATTCTAGGCTCAATGAACCGATTCTCCGTGCATTTGACGTACTCGAGCTTTAGAAGCTGCAAACTTTCCAATAGTCAAGCATATATCCTACAATGGTCAACCTTCGATAGCGAATCAGTGCTCACTCCTTTAGGGATAATCTCTGTCACGAGGGTGTAGCTGCCCGAGGGGGCATAGCAATCCCTTAGCAAGCTGGCTCAGCGGTAGCAGGGGTATACCTACCGGTCAACTTACCCTACCCTTCACTCTCTCCTATGCCCAGAAGTGGGGAAAACTGTTACCCTCGGGGTTGTGAGGAACAGCGACTATGGATATCATAGGTAATTCTTTCAAACTACATGTGGCGATGTGGCACCGTGGATTCCCATGCCAAAGTGTGTAAATTTCGAATCATCACTCTCCGTTTTATCTAGCAAGCAAACTCCAAGGTTGTTGTAACACCCAACCTGAGCACCTGCATTTTCTCCCCCCCGGGTCCAAATACCCCCTCTCGACCTCACCACAAGCCCAACTAGCACCTCCTGCTCTTGCCTGGAAAATACCCCGTTTCCCCACCTCAGGGCCGGAGCACGCCTACAACCATCAAAGATTTCTCATTCTACTCCCATCATCACCCAAAGCGCCACCCATTCCTGGAAACCCTGTACTCATACCTGCCATCTCCTCCCCCATAAGTGAACACTATATGATGAGACTATAGTGTTCAGGAGTAGGGGTAGGACTTCTGGTCACCGCAAAGAGTGGCCTTGAGATTGCCGACGTCGGGGGGACCGTGGCTGACCAGCGGAGCCTATCTTATTATTCAAGGCCCTGGCCCATAGTCCCTCCGGCCCCTTACATGTCCTGCGTCAAAACCTCCGACATAAAACTACCAGCCGGGCTGCCATACATAGCACCCCCTCTCTCCTGTCCCCAAGACAGACGAACCTGGCCTTTTGGAACACAGTTGGCAGGGGCCATAAATTACCTCAACACCACAGCCTCTAGTCTTCATACCCCCCTGGGACCCGGGACAACTGCAGACCACACACTCTAACCACGGCACCACCAGCGAGGACAAATTATAGTGTGAATACTCCCCCACCAGGGATACAAATTTCCAGAATTTGACCCTCATGGTTCTCCCCAGTTAGTAGGTAGATGTGTAACTCCATCGCAAAAACCATTTGAAATTTCCCAGCCGGGGAGCGAAACTCTGCTCAATTGTTAGTACAGCAAAACAAGAAGCCATCCAGATTATATCTTATGAGTAGGTGGATAGTTTACCCATCCTACAAAGTGAGTACCTTATCCCGTCTGTCAGACCTGTAATCAGTTAGTCGCCCAACTTAAATGACAAGTGCAAAGCCAATATTAGTCGGAACATTTTTTAGTCCCCTAAATTCAGCTGTGTCCGGAATCCAGTCTCGATGATATAATATTGTGGTGAGAAGGTAGGCACCAAAGCACCACATTCCCACCAAGACCAGAAGTTACGCACCGGATCATTTCCATTTGGCTTTGTTTCACCCCGTTGCAGCTTGTGACACTGTCCAGCCCACCACCATCACCACTACCACTAGAAAACAGAACAGAAGCGAGAATAAGAACGAATGAAAAACGAATGAAGCGACAGAAGAGATTTTCGCAGCTTGGTAGCTATTTGACAGAAGATAATATATTCTTGAACGGAATGAAAAGATGAAAAGATGTCAGTGGAGATTGGAAAGTTAGTGGTCGGAATGCCATACACACTAGAAAAACTTTCCACGCTAGAGCGTCTTGTTTCGCTTTTTTTTTTTTGTGCCTTTAATTTAGCTATTATTACATCAAGGTTTTACACAACCCTCAAACCCATCGAAACCATCACAGCCATCAAAATCAACAAATGAATACCGTTAAATGCTTATTACACTGCTAAAAGTAGAGTGAACCTAAATTTGAGGATCAGATATAGAAAGAGGGGGGAAGGTGAGGAGGAAAAAAGGAAGGACAAAAAACTTTTCGAAACATGAAGTACAAGATGTCTGTTGAAATAGACATCTACTCATGAAAAATAAGTATCATAAAAACACATCAGCAAAGCCCAATGATGGGGCAAACAGTAACTCTCCAGCTTTGGGTGTCATTTGTGTCTAGCCCCCCACCCCTCTATTAGCCTTACAAGTAAATGGTTAGAAGAGATCGGATAGGGTAGGATGGGGGAGGTTACTGTAAAGTTTTCGGATGCGACAAACCTAATGACCAGAGTCGCCTTCATCACAACTATGGATTAGGTTATCTGCATCCTCAGAGGTATCCGCATCATCTGAGTCCTCCTTGGGCTCCTCCTTATCATTTTCATCGCCACTGCCGAGAGCCAAAGGTTCGGGAGACCCGTAATCGTCAGTGACATTTCCGGAATACCACGCCCTAGGCAAAGCCTGAGTCCAGGTCTCAGGGAAGATGGTCTCAAAAGCGGCAACAACTTGGGCGGCCGCCCATCCAGCAGAGAACTCTCCCGTGCCCTCGAATCTTCCCAACGTCTGAAGGTGGGCTCCAGCTTCCAAGCCTTCTTTGTCGTGGCTCCAATATTTCACAAGCTTCTGGTACTGGTCCTCGAGCCTTTGAGCAAAGTCTTTAGGATCAGCCCTCCAATCCGCGGCAACCCACGCGGCGTAATCAACAACGGCCCAGTATACTGGCACTCCTATATGGCCAATCGGCGGTCCACCGACGACACCACCGTCGCTACGACCGATAAGGGGAGAATAAACACAATAGGTATGCAAGTGGATCACGTCTCTGAAGGACTGCTTGATGGTCACCACGTCCCTACGAGTAAATTCTTCAAATGGCTTATGAGGAGGGTAGCCCATTGCCGACATCAGGTGCTCGATGCGGCAGGACTCTGCACGTCGGAATCGTAAATGTGAGATAAGCTCTTCAGCTTGGAGGGTATCGAGACCGCCCCTGGTGTGAGCGTTGATTAGTTCCCAAACGCGGTCGTTTTCCGGAGCTGCGTCGTATGCTGACTGACAGGTTCTATACCACTTTAGAAGTGGGTTAATGAGCGATTCAGGCCCATGGATTGTGGCCGAGGTGATGGATATTGCAGGCATAATGAGTGTCGGTCGGTGGGGTACACCGTTTGCTGAGAAGTTGGATTTTCGAAAAGTTTTACCGAGACGATATTTCGCAAATTTACAGTGGTGAGAGCAGATAGGGAGGGGGGGAGAGAAAGACTGGGGTGAGGCGAGGAGGAGGGGGAGATTAGAGTGAGGTGGGTATAAGAACTCTGTAGAAGGGACTATGAAAACAAATTGTGTGCGGAGGAGGGTTTATGGCGGGGGAGGGCAAGAGACTGGAGGAGGATGATCAAAGGGTCTGATATGGGAGAGAGAGAGAGAGGATATAGCTTCGACGCAGGCCCTCTTACGAGGACAGCAGCCGGAGAGCGTAAAGCAGCCCCAACTTATAATTCCCGCTCGCGCTTCCGTGAGGAAAAATAGCCCAACAAAAACCAGAATCCAAGGAGAGCTTAAAGAGTGTAATAATAATAGGGGAGTAGGGAGCGGAGCAGCCGACAATATGATAAGATCTATCCTTGAAATAGTTTTGAGGTGACCATCAAGGGAGAACTCCTTTGAAATAAGAAATCAGTGTCTTTTTCTATTATTTCCCCCTCCTTATGTCAATCACGCGGTTACAATACTAACGAGAAGGTCCTCTCCCTGACAAGAGTCGACCAGATATCTCTGGTACTGCGGAAACCAAAACTCTCACTTACTTACTCCCAGTGCACGACGCTGTTTGTCTATGTCGAATCTATTTCTCTAGGAAAAAACTTCCACCCTAATCGCACACTTTACTACTATCTTCGATCATCAATTTACACTTCCCCCGCACTCAACCTTTCAGCTCTACCCCCCTCTTGGGCGAGACCGACAAATGGAAAATTAGGAAACCTCACAGTCCTAATTGAACCATCTTTTTCACTCCTTTTTGAAACCAGGAGGCGAATCAAGAAGCATAGTTTGTATAGCGAAGTTCGCACTTCACACTCCAGCATGATACCCAGCATGATGCTGAGGCTATTCCCAAATCTGCCAGTAACTGGCACGCACTTGCACCGCACCAGATTCAGACCCTCACAGTGGCTAATAACAAGCGTGGGAGCATCACGAGATAGCACAGGCAACTATCATACTTTCCCGCCTTCATTTATCTTTTTTTATTATTATTATTCCAATCCCCTAGAATACTGCCCCAATAGTGAGATAGCGCGGTAAGTACAGTCACTATCCATCATTCGTTGTTGAGTTCCTTATCAACAGTTCTTATCAACAATCATGTTGTTCAGGCAGCTAAATTACCGTAGCGAGACACGGGAGGCGCGAATCCCTGTCCATCCAATCAATCATGTTCCATAGAAATTTCTAGTGCAAGCGGCTGAAGGAGAGTTCGCGCCTTTCATTTCAAACCCTTCCTCGATCAAATAAAACACCACGGTACCAGCAATCTATACCCCACTCCTCACGCCCCGCCCCTCTCTATCTTCTCCCCCCGCAGCATGGTAATGATATTATTATAGTGTTATCTACTGATATGTCGACCTTCGAGAACACCAAGTACAGTGAATATACTATCAACCTGACAAGCTTTCTTCACAATAACACTCTCACATATTCTCAGGACACAGCCTCTACGCTTACTTTTTAACTCACCTCTCCAAAATGACCCGCAGCCACCGCCGAGCACCTACTCTCCCTCTATGGCGACCTAGAACCCTCTTCAGCACAAACCAAACTGCATCCCACCTCCCCAGCCAGACAGCTCCGGGCTCGGGCGCATCGTCACTAAACTTCCAATCGAGTCCATGGAAACTCCTGGCATCAGACATAAAGCTAGCTTTCACTCTTCTCCTTTGGATTCCCCACATTTTCCTTCCCTGGCGAAGCACAAACCCATATTCGGAATTGTACCCGTCACGGAAGAACATGTGCGATTTGGTACTACACATTATACTAGGTTTTCTTGGTTCCTTCTGGCTAGTCATTGTTGTTCCTGCATGGATAGCGGCACCTGGGCTGGTTTTTGCACTGTTCATGTTGTTTTATTGTGCGCTCACAGCGCTTTTTTGCATGCCGCTAGACTACGGGTCAAGGTTTGTGCAAAGCCGGATTCAGCACGCGAGTGGCCCAGAGATTTGGGATCATGAGAAATGGGTGTTTGTCAATGGAGTTGCCGCGGGAAAACATTGGCTACAAGGTATGTTTATTTTGACTCCAGTACGGACTAGAATATGTAGGCTGGGCGAGATGTAACTCAACAGACGTAGCAAATGTCGATATGATCAGTGAAATATTCGGTCGGCCGGTGACTGGGATACATAACCGGACATATGGAACTGTGTTCGACCTCGTGGAGTGCTTGATCCAACGGTGCTTCTCGTATTCTACGGAGGATACTCGAGTTCTATATGACCATCTGAAAAGCATACTTCTAGACAACAACGTACATAAATGTGTTGTCATTGCGCATTCCCAAGGGGGAATCATCCTATCCACCGTCCTAGACCGTCTTTTCGCAGATGTACCCAGCGGAGTATTTGAAAAAATGGAGATATACACATTCGGGTAACCATACATATACCCCCTTGCTTCTCACCACCCCCATAGCCTCCGCAATATCTAACATCTTCCAACACAGCTGCGCAGCGAACCACTTTAACAACCCCATCCGCTTTGTCCCCTCCCCCTCCCAACCACAAACCCCGTCGGCGGACCCCCCGGCGCCGGAGGAGCGTCTGATTAAGTATATAGAACACTACTGCAATGAACACGACTTTGTCTCCCGCTTCGGTACCCTGCACTTCTCGAAGGACAAGCTGTCAAATCGCTTTGCCGGCAAGGTATTTGAAAACAAAGGTCACGGAGGTCACTTGCTCAACCAGCACTACCTCGACCCTATGTTTGCCGGCGACAGCTCAGACTTTCTCGAGATGGTTGTAGAAGCGGGAGAAGGCAGAGCTGAGCAGGGAGCTCAAGTTTCTGGCCAGGAAACAGCCCAGAAGGAGTTGAGATCGTCAAGGAGTTGGCCACCCGCCTGGACAGGGTTCCGGATGGCATCCGTCGAGGTACCCAACGATCTTGAGCAGGCGAGAACATTGGGGAGGAATCCCTCGGCCCCGGCCCCGGGCACTGGTTGGGATTTTGCGACTGGGGCAAAGGCGGAGTCGTCGGCAGAAATTCAGAGGGGTAGAACGGTAATGGACCTAAGTCGATTATGGAAGTATAAGAATGGGGAATCGCCGGACTAGCTATTCCACTTGCACCAGCACATGTGTTAGTTATCTATCTTGTTCGGGAACATATGGGACAAGTTTGTGGAGTTTTTGCTTCTTTTTCTTCTTTTTTCCCCCCATTTTCTCCATTGATTGTAGATACCAGAAATTGTAATTAACGATAAGATACCATACCAACGGTTACCTAACCATAAACCCCCCGCAACAGACAGTCCCTTTTACATAAAAGCTCAATTCAGCCACCTACTCCAAACACATGTTATAGATACGTTACCACTCTTACAGTAATTATAGGGTACAGTAAACCATACTCGGATATGAAAGTGTGTGGTCAGACACCTACAGGTTAGGAGGTAGCAAAACTGAAGGTATATCATAGTTGCTTGAGCTATGTCTATAACAAATTCATTTTCCTATTTTCCTATTAGGGTACAGCAGCAATGGTCAGGCCTCCAGAATTCCTAAATAATATCGTATCCGATCATCCACGTCCATACCCGAGTACTTTTGCAATGCTATGCCGGTACAGTGGGTACCTCAGCCTCAGGACAAGCACAAGAGCTTGGAAACCCCACACCCGCTCAGGGAATAGGTCACGCCCTGCCATGCACCACATTCTATTGCCGGGTATGAGATATTTGAATGTGATAAACCCGGCGATCAGGTCTGGCGTCGTGGGATCGCACCGCATATCTTGGTCTTAATTTACCAGTGTACAGTTCGGGCCTGGTATATAAAGGTCCATAATTGCTGTTGATGCTTGATCGATTAAGTAATCAGTTACTTGCTCAGCGAAAACTACCTTACTCGTATATAAACTCCGCCAAGAGTGTCATTCCCCTCTTCAGCTTACTTATACAACTCCATGCCTGAAAAGGGATAGACGGCTTTACCACTTTACCCGAATCAATTCGCTTATTACTCGTGCCGTGGCTTACCGTCCAACCATGTTACAGAGCTGTACTCGTACTATTACTGATAGGCCATCCAAGCGAAGATGACGCCAGGATGTCCTTCCACAACAACAACATCAACCACACATGCAAGTATCAGAGTATACGACCGAAGGTCTGCGCATTGCACGTGCAATGTGGGCCACCTTCTGGGATGCGGAGCGGCAGCATTTTAGGACGTTGAAGAAGAGTTCTGAGACTGTGGGTCTAAATAATCTTACGCTAGGTGGGGGTTAGCTTGCTGGTAGGTTTAGGTGCTGACCTGAGCGATCGGTGTAATAGGTGGATGACTGGAATGGATACGTTATCTGGCCATTCGTGAGTTTTCCCCATAACTCCCACGACCCCGTCCCCTAAGAGCACCAGTTAACGACGGGTACGCCAGATAATCGGTATAGAAGCCCTCTTGGAAGCTGAAGTCGCTAGCCCAGGCAACTTCACAGCTGAAATCTACGCCTCCCTGGAGGCAGTGGAGAAGTTCTATTCAAGCGAGTATGGGGCCTACACCGCATGGCTAGCGTTCATGGGGAATCACGACATTTATTACGGTTAGTCCAAGATCTCCTGACCTCCGGTTATAGAGAGCTAAGGAAGGAGGGGGTTGTTGCCAGATGATAATGCACAAGTTGCAATTGCATTGTTAAGGGCGTACGGCATCCCGTCTGTTAGTAAAGCTGTGTACCTCACTCGCGCTAAGCGCATCGTGGACTTCCTTTTCACGGGGTGGGATTCGGCGAATGGTGGGGGGATGAGGTGGCATGTTGAGAAGACTGTGCGCAATGCTATATCGACTTCTCTTGCCGCTGTGGCGGTGTTGAGGCTTGTCAAGACCAATCGGCAGGTCGCTGATGGTGGCGGTGTAGCTGTTGCTGTGGCGGACAAGACTGAAACGAAGTTGATCACTTTTGCACGACAGTGTGTGCAGTGGGTTCTTGACGAGTTGCAGTTGGATAGCGGGTTAATTATGGATGGGGTGGGGGGTGGGCCTACTTACACGTTAGCGCCTTACATCTTTCCTTCCTGCGGAAGCGAATTCAGGACTAATCGTGGGGGGGGGGGCAGTTACAATACTGGCGTGCCACTCCATGCGATTTGTCTTCTGCAAGAACTAAACCCTACTGACGACCTCGCGGAGAAGGCCGAAAAGCTTGCTGCCGCCGCAGTCGACAAGACAAAATCTCTCTTCGATCTCAAGGTAGCGGATCCGGAGCACAGGTTCTGGTGGGACGTTACCTATTTTCTCCAACTATTGATTGAAGGTCTCATCAGCTATGTCAAAACCTACGCCGCCGTACAACCCCCCACAGCCCAAAGAGTGGCTGAAGAGGTGGACAGACAGCTGAGATATGTGAAGGCTTATATCATTGATATCAGCGATGGGCTGTACGTATACCTTTTTCCCCTTGGTCTTTTTTCTTCTTTATTATCTAACTCAATACCACAATAAATACTTTAGCTACTGGAGGTCATTAAGGCTATATGCTATCTCCAAGGAGAAGCTAGCCATCTACCGCCAGCTCACCGGCGATAATAGAGAGCCAGAATATGATCAGGAGGAGAGGGTGATGGATGGCGCGAACTTGGCCCTGCCCGTAGCTGAGTGTGAGCTGTGCAAGACGCTGTTGGGGAATGGGGGTGCGGCGAGGACTTTCTTGCTTGCTGGCCAGTACTTTGTCGCCCCTTAGAGATTGTACAATGCGCTTATGGGCACTCGGTATCATCCCCATCAAGCCATCTTTTCAAGTTATTCCAATAACAAATTCTTAAACTGAGGCCGTCTTCTGGGCCGAGTGATATATAATGTTTTTTATTGAACTTATCGATTAACCCAAACGACTTTACGCGGGGTTCTCTCCAGGGGGAGGTCCGAGTTTTCGGGGGTGAATAGCACTCGTGATCAGGATACGAACGTCCAGTGGAGGTGAAGTGTTGCTCGAGTGATCAACCGTGATTTCCCCCCTCAAGAGCCAAAAATCGGGAGACAAGCTAGTGCAATTATGATACGCTCATGTTTCAGAACACAAGGTTAAAAAGGAGATGATATTATAATAGTATGCCACACCCATATCGTCCAGACTCGCCGCTTGCCAAGGACCCGGAGAGAACCAGAACGCATGTTCCCGCCAGCACCCCACAAAGAAACAGCCCGCAGTGCAAGCGAGGGCATAATACACCAATAGGTTTCCAATGCAGTGGCTAGATACCATAGATGCACATATCGTACTCCTGCGTTTATGCAGTAAAAGGCTCACGTGCGCGGTCGGGCTGCCAACACGTAATGGCGCTCCCAAGAAGAAGACTGCCGATTTAGGAGTTGTCCCCACCTCCTCTCCTTTCCTTAAATTTTCCTGTCTTTCGTTCAAATATCACCACCCCCCGTCTTCTCGTGCACAGGGAACTCCTCCCCCTTCCCCCCGCGGAACATTGCTTCATCAGCTTCAATCCCTCCGTTTGAAAGACGTGGAAGATCAAACGGCACTTGATATGATTGGTCCGAATTTTCAGACGGAGGAAGGTATCCTTGTTCCCGAGGAAAGGGGGAAATACAGTGCCAAGCTACCGCTCGAACAGATCTATATGATCCCAATTTTATGAATTGTGATCTCTTTAGATCACCATGATGGGGGACACTTAGGGAGAGGCCATTTCTTGGCATGCTCCTAGCACTATTCCGAAAATGTCTCCTTCTACTAATCCCAAATAGGAAAGCAACTCTTCCACATAATATCATTATGGCATAGTACCGGTAGATTCCTTTATTGCTCTATCGGTTGCTCGATCTCGATCCTCTCTCATAACACTCAGGAGCCCTTTATTCTCCATCAAAACACATTATTTACGCATGAAATCAACAAGATTCTCTTCTACAATCAATTCCCTATCTATTCTCGTTAATATTATATCCTTTTGGGCTTGTTGAAACTTGATGCTATTCTTGTTGAGGCAGCATCGCAAGCTGTCTCAACAAGTATGATACCCCCACCATAACTGGACGGGGGCCCCTCCGGTTGAAATTGGTGTTCTAGGTTTTCCCGTTATACAAGTACAAGTCCCCGGCATGTATGACCCGAACGTAGGGAGCAAAGATTTGCATGGCAAATTGTCAGTGCTCATCTGAGCGCCCATGCTAAATTCAGACTCAAACGTTCTGGTTCTGCATGCCAGGGACCTGTACCGGCATCCCTAGCCTTCTGTTTCCCTTATCACTCTGCACTCGCCAACCGCTCGAGCACGTTACAGAAAATTCACTGTACCGTGCCTTCTAGGCTCCTGCCTCTTCGGTCTATGACATTTGCTCAGGTACCATGCACCCCTACTTTTGTAATTTACCTCACCTATACAGTATCGCCATAACTTGCCATACACTATGGTTCCTGGTGAGCCCGGATTGAGATCCGATACGCTGTGCCAGTACTCCTTCCCCTCCCGTCCCGGTGGGGCCGACTTCACAAGACTCTTCTCAGCCTACCCGTAATACCAAGCCGTAACGCCTCACAACGGCCAACCAGTGCGGAGCGAATGCCGTTCAAGCGTCAATCGGGTTCCAGAATTTGCCGTTCTGCCCCTTCCTAGGGGGTATTAGGATAAATGCTGAAGAGTTGAGACCCCCCCGCTTCTGTCCTCGGGTCCGGAGCTCCGCACCGCTACCAGCCATCCCGCATTACACACAGCTCGCGTGGAGAGGTGGCACACGGGCACTTGGCGTTTTGGACGCTAATTTGTGAAGACATCATTCGCCGGCACACCAAGTGTATTTCGGGCGTAAACAGTTCGTGCTGTGGTACTTTGTTTTGACATTTTGTTGATTTCGCAGAGAGGAGTCTCAGTCTGAGTAGGATCGGGTTGGAACTCAAGACACTAGGCCTACAATTACCCCCACCAATACTACTCGCTCTTGTATTTTCTTTCTTCACGAACCCAGCGTGCCGCAGGAGGGTCCAAGCTTATTTTAACACCCTGGCACTATTCTCCCGATTATTCGTGTATCGGAATTCAACGGCGGGATAAATTGAGCAGCCCTGCGTGTCGTACCCCACGACTCCGCAACGGGGGGACAGCACCACCAGTCCCTGGCCATAAGCACCTGAAAACAGGGATTTGCAGAATGCGTGGTAAAATATCAGTGCGTACCTGAGCGACCATTCAAGATATACAAGTACCACCCCTGTTTTCGTGTACTGTACTTATGGCCGGGGACCAGTGGTATTGGCGCAAGGTACTGTAACACGAAAGTGCCCACAAATGAAACATAGACAATTTAACGGCACTCAAGTATCGGTTTCCCGAAGTGGTGTCTTAATCGGCCGGCACACGAGTAGGTCCGGTCTATCTACAGCACCTCCACATGGAGATGATACCAATAATTCAGATTAGGATATCAAAGTGGTAATTTAAAAATTTCGAGAAAGGGTTTAGAATAGTGTCGACAGGGGGTGTTTGTTTAACTCCTCCTAATGTTTCCCTACCCATTTGCCGTTGACAAAGACTTGGACCTTGCCCATGCCAAGGGCCATCAGAGATTGGAAACATATTTCTTCAACACCCTGCAGACAGTCACAGATACCGTAGTCTAAAGTTTCCTTCCCTGAAAAATGGGGCGAATAACACAGCAAAAGGTGCGCCGTTCAGCCCCTCTGGTCATAAAAATAAAAAATAAAAAATAAAAAATACGAGGCTTAGCCAGAGGAGGCAACTCAAACGACATAGCACACGATCCATATTTTACGGTACCGAGAAAAAAATTAAAAAACCGTCGTGGAAAAGATAGTCATGAGCGAGGTGTAATGCCTCCAACCCTTTCTTTATCATTCATAAATATTGCTTTCCAGCAACCTTTGCCCGCTAAAACCAGGAGAAATACGCATCATATTTTTTATATATTTCCTCAACCGTTTCTCGCGGTATTACTCACCTGCTTTGAGATTGCGGAGCCAATATTCTAGCCCGGGTTTAAACGTACACGCCCGCAACCGCCAAACCATTTTTCCAAAACCCCCCACCCAAATCCTATTTTTGCCAAGTGCAACAATTGCATCCCTGACCCAGATCTGGTCCACCCCCAACCCGGCGTTTAGGGAGAGAAATTCCTAAGGACCAATTCGGCAAGAATCTCGAACCCAAAGCGTCCAAGAAATCTCCGAGAAGCCTCCCTATTCGCAATGACAGCCCTCACACTTCACCCCGTACTTGGACTCTGAGCCTCCCGGTTTCAGATGGCAATGGGTGCTGGAACCCTTGCCAGCTATGAGAAAGGCCAACACGGAATCTGAGTCCATGAGCAGAGATGTCGGCCACCCGAGGCCCCGGTGCGAATCGCAATGGAAAGACGAAGTTTATCCCTCCAATTCGCCGTGTTGGAATCGGAGAGGGGGTGGAGGTATGATATACGCATCGGAATTATGCGTCGGGGTTTGGGGTTCGTCGCTTCGATAGCTGTTCCACATTGGACATGGAGATGATTATCCCATACGCTGAAGACACCATGGCGGAAGGCACTTGCCTGCTGTTATTGAAGCATGGTCTCCAGCTCCCACTGATGCTAGCTCGGAACTAGCTGCGGTGCACGCGAGAAATTATAATAACATTTGTGCCGTGAACTATCCTCGCTCCCATGTGAGCATCCAGCCCTCCGAGTTTGAGTCACAAACGATCACTCGTCGTTACTCAAGAACCTCCGACAATCGCCCCTGAACGCACCCATCCTCCTTCGCCCCAGTGGAAAGAGTCGGAAGACCAAAGCAGTCGGAGAAACCACTCACATGCACACCTTGTGCTACTACGTTCCCCACACAAAAGTTGTTCAGGTCCCTCTAACGTAACCAACCCCCCCGCCGCCGAAGCTCAAGTTGGCCCCAGAAATCAAGCCATGCCATAGCTACATCGCTGTTCTCACTATCTTCAGTCTCGCTTACGAGGGTGAGCGCAAGCAACCAAGATGTAGATGTAGATTAAATCGAACGGCTCGCGAATCTAAAATTTGTGAAAAAGCGACCGAGTACGGCCCATTCATTCGTTTACACGACGCCCCAGTCAGTCAATCAGTCAAGATTCTTGCAGACAACACACGACTATTGTCGTGGCAGTACATGACCCCCACCTCAGCTCCGCACAGAAACCCGCAACCAACCAGGAGGAATAATAGAAAAAAGGCATCGCCGAGATAAACGCTGTTATACCACACAAGCCAAAACAAAACACAAAGGAGTAAATCCCTCCATTCCCCCCCCCCCCTCCAAACAAATAAAACCCCGCGGAGATCACACACGCTCACTCGCAACTGGACTTCTCCCTGCGCCCCTCCTTTCCCGCACGAGCGCATACAGTACCCCATGCGAAAAACAGTGACAGGAGGTCTTCCAAAATACGGGGGAATCAATGTGCTATGCCAACACAACACTGTCGAACCATGAGCAAAGAACCCACAAACGGGGGAGAGAAACAAACACCCACAACCGGAACAAACCGCCCAACAAGTAAGGAAAATACGAGCCGGTCCCATCAACCGGTAATTACCTACCTACCTATAATACCAAGAGAAGAAACAAAAAAAAAAAAAAAAACCCCTTATAATCCACCGCCGGCCCACGAACGATGGGTTGGGTCGTTGAGTGAGGGTGCTGGTTAATGATGTCCGACACTAGTACCCTCTCCAGATCTTTCCGTCTACGATATATCTATCTCGGAATCCGGAAATTACAAGATTTCGCGGTGATGGCTGATTAATTGTAAGGGGGGTGGTTTAAGGCATATCATGTCGGCCCGTACCTTTTCTGTATCACTATGATTAATTAATGTTGAATTTTTTTATTTTTTTTCTCCCCCTTTTTTTTTAAACCCCCCCCCCCGGGGCTGGACTGGACCGGGCTAGATTGGGTTGGTTAGTCATTCTTTATATAATCTATGTTAGCTTGCTATTATATAGCACGGTATTTGCTGGGTATGGGTGGACGGGTTGGGCAGGGTGCTCGAGTGGTGCGCACGCAGGAGATCCAATCAATCGAAAGGCTCTCCCACGGCGCCTTCTGATGGGGCGGAGAGGATTAAGAAAACGTCATCTGATTTCGACTCCCGTCACTGATCACCCTTTCTTTGGCCACAGGTATTTGTACTCGTAGAAGGGAGGAAGGAGCTGTATGGGTAGGAATTCGCGGTTGCCGCGGGTGGTCACTTGATTTGGTGTCTTGCAAGGCGTACTTGAGTGCTACAGTACGGCAGATCGGCTATCTTGTGTTTATTACTTTTGGTTACATACAGTACCGGATGAAAACGTGGTGGCATGGGGGGTGAGCGGCTAGGGAGCGCTAAGCGAGTGAGAAAACATGACGATTTCTTCAGACAGAACGGTTAAGGAGCTAACGGTAGATATTGTTCCCGACCTAAGGTGGTACATGGATTCAAGAAGGAAAAAAAAAAACCCTAATGCACTGGCGGGCGCAAAGCAAGAACGGGAACAAAGAGGAATTGAAATAGGAAAGGGAAAAGAGAAAAAAAAAGAAAAGAAGCACGGAGCCAACTCCAAGTAATAATAGAAAATGTTTCATTTCATCCCAGCTTTCGTCACCTTCATACTCGTTACGTCCATACAGGTTAACGTAATCCCAGTCTATGGGGTAAACCCATCATCCTCTCAAAGCTCTCAAGCGCTCTCCAAGCCTAATAATTGCGGACGGTTGGTCAGTACTCTCATCCCCACTGCAAGTGCGGAAGGTGTGGGGAATGGAAAGCGAAGAGGAAGGAGAAGGGAGGAGAGTGAGCATGAATGAATGAAATGACAACGTACACGTCCTCCTCCTGCTCTGTCGGCCCAATCTTTGCTCTAGAAGGGGTCGCCGCCGTCAACTCTTGCGTAAGCTCCAACCCGTTCTCATCGGCAATCTGACCCATCAATCGATCGACATCTTCTTGCGGAGTAGCAACGGCTGTCGCGGAAGAGGTTGCATTCTCATAATACCCAGTCGCAACATCCAGGTCTTCGAACTGGGTTTCAAACTTGTCCATAACCAAGGAAATCTACCCGACAAGAGAAGGCACTTTCATCAGTAAAGAGAGGGAAAAAATCAGTGGACCCTGCCCTTCTTCCCCTTCCATTCCGCCCCGTGAAAACGGGGCCGAGATGGCGAAACTAGATGCGACAATGAACGGGAACACGTAACAATAGTAGCAATGACAAGTGGTAATAACACACCTTTTCCAGGTTCATGGTTTTCATAGCACTATCCATCCCCTTGACCACATTCGCCATGCTGCCGGTGACCTGCCTCATGGTCACGGCAGTCTGTACCCTACTTGCCACCGCATCAATTCTTGAGGCAAGGCGTAGAAGGTTCAGGCGCTCGTTCTGTTTCCTAATGGCATTCTGTGCGTATACCTTTGCGATATCTTGGTTTCCTTGCGAGAGGGCCTATCCCAACCGTGTCAGCGGGCCGGCCGTCTTACCGGCTGTAAGGAAACAAAAGAAAGTACGATCGAAAAGGCAAATAAGGAAGAAAAAAATGTAGAATGCAAAAAGCAAATTCAAAAAGGGAATGGGTAAAAAAAGATTAAAGTCTTCCAGGGTGCATGTATGTATGTACGTATGATATATCCGTATGTATGGGTGGGTGAAATAAGGGTACAACAGCGGGGGTGGAGTGCAGGGCAGTAGGGTGGGTAAGGGTTGAGGGGTTTTCCCCAGCAAACCTTCTTTATCTTTGCCTTTTCCGACGTCTCATCCTTACCGGCCTTGACCGCCTGTCGGTTTAGCTGCTTTGCAGTAAACTGTGGTGCGCAATAGCTGTGTCAGTAAGCTACCCACTACCATAGCTCAACCTCCGATGCGGGAAAAAGCGGGCATAGCGGACAACAAACGCGGATGGAGGGGAAGGAAAGTGAGGGGGAGAGAAGATTCGGTGAATGAGTTGAAATGAAAAGTGGTGATGGCGATGACGTACCTTTAGGTTGAACAGAGCTTTCTCAAGTCCGGACATGGTGTGAGTTTATTTTGGCGAGTTCTTTTCTATCTTATTTTATTTTTTTTCCCCTCTCCCGTTTGAGGAAAAAAAAAAAAAAAAGGGAAGAAAGAAAGAAAGAAAGAGGAGGAGAGAGGTGTAGGGCAAAAAATGAGGGGGTGTTGCTTGATGGAGCGGGGGGGTTTGTCGCTGGTGGTGGTTGTGGTTGTGGTTGTGGTGGTGGTGGTGTGAAGTTTGAGAGCGTGTCAAGTCGGCAGTGGGGAGAGAGAGAGGGTAAACACTTCGTGGCAGAACGTCAACTTGGTTGGCAGCGATGGTTTTGTTGGAGGGGTGGTTGGTCTATTTCGCCAAGGATCCTATTACTTCATGGTGCCAAGACAGATCAGATAAGCGATAGCCGCTTTGCTAACTGAGACCTTTTTGGCACCTTGTGACTCTAACCCCAACCTCAACTTCCGCACTTAACTCCTCCGGGTCAAAATTGTAGTATCATAGGTACAAGTGCGAGTACAGTACAGTGCAACGTCGTTTGTCGGTAACTACAGATGGTAACCGATATTCAACCCAGCCGAGAATATTATGCCCTGTGCTTGCCTCAGGCCTCCCCACCCCATTCCTTTCGCCGGTATGATATATAACATCTACAATTTCCCTTCCCTCTTTCTGCAACTGAGCGAATAGGGCGATAATATCATAATAAATGTGAGAAGAGAAGGGTGATAATAGTAATAATAATAGCAATAATAGTAATAATAAAAAGCGATTAAAAGATTCAAGGCCGCAATATATCCTTGGCCATTTTTATTCCAATTTCCTATTCTCATACACCGACCGACCGCAGCACATCACGTGTATAGCTTCTGGGAAATGTAAACTGTGACCTGCCCGTCTTAAAGCTTCTGTGCAGGAAAATAGTGAAATATGGATAGCGGAAGGTGGAAGATACCCAAAAAATTGGCACGAGCACGGAACCGTAAAGCTGGAATGAGAAATCAGGAGAGAAATGACTGTCAAACAGTTGGGGGGGGGGGTAAATGTATATGTATATATATAATATTATAATTATATATATAATATATTATTATAGAAAAACAACAAGAAACAAAAACCCCGACCAGCCGAGCCAACCAGCATAGAAAACACCCACAAAAATATATATATATATATTTACATCAAACGCCCTATCTCTCTCGCCAAAAGAGAAATGCCGAAGAAGTCCAATGCTCCTAACCAAATATTATGAACAGAGATTGATAAATTGAAAAGATAATGAACAGAAAAGGTAAAAATAATGGAAACGCTGGGGGGGAGAAGAGAGATATGCCATCTAAGGCAGGTGTCAAGAAAAAGGAAGTAAATGTTTTAGAAAAATAATCATTCCAGAAGTGAAAGCTAGCCAAGGTAATTTAATCCTTGGCCCTCCCATCCCTCCGGCCTTTGGGGAAATGCGTCGCATATCTCTACATAAAATAAAAATTAAGTCAATCCAGCGCTATACTATCTGTCTAAGGTTCGCGGTTTTGAGGAAAATTCGGAGGGTGTGAGGAGGACCGCTTTCGCTGATGTCCAAACTCCCTCCCTAGCAGAGATACCCGGCCTCTTCGTTCTTCGGGTTCTTGTGGAGGCGCTCCCAGTGCTGTTGCCGAGCCTATGGAGTCAGAACCGCGCGCAAGGTATGATGGGTTCGGGGTGGTGGCATCGGCTGGAGCGCTCATTTGTGGAATTTGAAACTCTTGTGGAGGCACAAGAGGTGCTGTTGCAAATCCTGACATTGTCCCAGAATGGGGAGTCAAGGGAGGCTGTGGGTATTTGTAATCGGGGAGCGTCAATGGAGGTGGAAAGCTCGGTGGTGGTCGTGTTTGATGCGCCGACGCTGGAGCTGGTGAGGGGTAAGGGTGTGTGTATGGCCCTAGTTTAGTGTAAGTTATATAACCTTGAGTTTACAGGGAAAACCGGGAGTTATGTACCTTGTGGGGTGTGCACAAAAGGGCTTTGAGGTGTTTCTGGAGGGACACTTCTTGGCGGTTCGTTGAATGACATTCCTTGCATAGAATATGTGCTAGGACTTAGCTGGTACTCGCTGTGGTCAATAGTATTTGCCGAATAGGGGGTGCTAGATCTCAGAGGTGAACTGGCAGATTCAGCCATCGATCTAGGGATATCCTGTAGTTGGAGCCGCGGTACGCTAGGGTGCGTCCTAAACGGATCCCTGGGTCTTGAAAAAGGGTTTCCTCGCTGCTGCTGAGGGCCGAGAGGCGCCGCCATGTATCCGAGGAAAGAAGGCCGCTCTCCAGTTGAGGATGCAGGGGATAATAGGTCGCCAGAGGTAGTTGTAGGCGTGAACGACAACCCTGGAAACCCCGGTGTTGTGGGCGATACGACAACCTCATCTTCTCCGAGGTGTCTCCTTCGCAGCGGATCCGTACGATAAGCCATGCTAGCTGTTGGTGAGTATTCAGTTGGCGAAGCAATTGGAGTCCCCATCATCCTTCCTCCTCCGTACTGCAACGTTTGAAGAATTGGAAATTCCTCTGGCAGCGCGCGCGACTTCATCATACGCTCTCGGTCATCACTGCTCATTCGTTTCAGTTTGGCTCTCCTGAAACATTATTAGTCAACTGTATTCCTCGTTAGTGCAATGGTGGCACACTACGAACCTATTTTGAAACCAAACCTGCACCTGTCGAGGGCTCAAGCCAGGGATCTCCCTCGCCAACCGTTCCCGGTGGGCTGCATCAGGGTGTGCCTGTCTGGCGAACTCACTCATCAGGAAGCGTGTTTGGTTGTGGGTAAGTCTAATTCCTCCGAAGGTATCAAGTTAGCAACCGTAATCTTCCTCTCATATCCCTCGCAAGCCAAAAAGGAAGTTAAGCTTGCCTGAATCGCTTCATCTTCCTTTTTTCCTGCCTTCTCTCGCTCAAGGACATGTGATGCTCCCCATGTGAAGGTTGGCCAGCGATGTCCACAGAATGCCTGTGTTCTGAGTGATGAGTAGAAGAGTGTGGACTTTCAATCATGGATCCATTTGAAGTCTGTGAATGGGGAGAGCCATGCCCTTCGTGAGAGGTAGGCCATTCCCGATCCCTATAGTCATCCTCGGCCTCAGAGACCCCAGAAGGGCTGTATTGCTCATAAACCGGGGGAAGCTGAGTATGGGCCTGATGACCCTCTTGCTCCTGTGGCAAGACAGATGGGGTATCTCTCTCCAGCCGCTGCTCTCTCCAGGGCAAATGGGACGAATGATCTCCAAAGTCCGACATTTGATGAAGTGTGAAATATTTCGAGGCCGACGTTTCCTCCCACTCTCCCACGCCTCGGCCCTCCCGATGATAAGAGGCGTGTTCTAGTGAAGGCACTATGAAGAGTTAAAAAAATATTATCTTCGAACAGCTCACCACTAGAAGTGTGGCTGTCTTTCTTTGTGGGGGGGGCTAGATGTCTCTCTTTTTTTTTTTTCCGGATATGTGTGTGTTGTCAAGCAGTTGCAGTGGAGTAGGTTTCTGGTAGTAGAAGTAATTCCAGCTGCAGTGGTAGTAGCGATGGTAATGTGCCGTGGCAGCAGGTAACCAACGGGAGCGACTGAAGCAACAAGTGGTAACAGAAATAGAGATCGAAAAACAAGAACTCTCAAAATCCCCCCCCAAAAAAACAGTAAATCCCACAAATCACAGTTCCTAACGTGCCAAGTATCTATGTTCGGATCGTTCGTATCTCGTTCTTCGTTTCGTTAAATCCGAGATTCCGGAGTTGTTTAATGCAAGCCAGGCGGATTCCAGCTATATGCGGAGAATTGGTTGACTGACGTAATCAGCGAATGAATGGACCGGATAAATATGTGATTGTTCAAAAGCGAAAGGCGATGGTCCGAAAGAATGAAGGTGAGGAGAGATCTGCGGCTTGATCCCTTTGGTGGGGTCTAGGGTGGGGGGGGAAAGGGAAAGTAGTTATAAGTGTGTGTAATGGTGGTGAGCGGTGCCCTTGAGTAAACAAGACAAGAACTAGTTTAACAAGAATGTGTGTAAGTAAAGGTGATGCGGTTGTGGGTATATGATTGTAGTTTGTGCTTGGTGGGGGGAGAGGGAAAGAGAGTGTGGCGCGGAACCTCAAGTTAAGTTATAACAATGAATGTAGGTAGATTCTTAGAGTCGGGTTGGGGCTAATGTGGAAATTATAAACTACTACTTTTTCTTTTCCTGTCAGTCCGCTGGAGTGACTGTTTGTAGGTTCATACAGCGGAGTATCCAGGTCGAAGGAGTGGCCAGGCAGGTGAGTTGATCGGTGAGCCAATAGGATAAGAGAGTGGGTTGGTGATCTTTTTTAGGCCAAAGCTGCTTGCAGGGAGAGGATTTTTCGGGACGAGTCGACCGGCAAAAATGAATAACAACGATAACGTCTATGTGGAGAAATATTTGAATGAGGGAACGACCAGAAGCCAACAATTGTGACTTCAGAGATTCTGATCCAGCAGCGTGACCCAGCACAAGAGAAGAGAAAAAAGAAAAGAAGAAAAAAAAGAAAAAACTCGAGAAGGATTGACGAAGGCAGGGCGAACGAGTTACCAATAAATAAGATGGCTCAAAAGTAAACAGTGAGTTTTTTTTGAAAAAAAAATATTTGAGAGGCAGAAGGAGAGAAAAGACAGGATGGGGATTCTCAAATGAGCGGGGATATCAAGGTATATGTGGGATAAAATGGGAAGACCCCTTCTGTAATCCCTTCCCACTTCGCAACGGAGGCGATTGACGGGGGCAGATGATCCACTGAACGGAGGAAAGGAAAATCGATACAGCGAACAGAGAACGGAAGGATCGTAGAAGGAAATCACTAGCACGACCACTGATGCGGTAGACGCGCACGGGCTGTCAAAAAAACCCCGCGGTGTGAGAAGGTGAGTGAGGATAAGAAGGAGGAGGAGGGAAGCGGGCACGGGGCCGGATCGTGTAGCCTTTGCATGAATGTCGATGGTCCGGGTGTGAGCAAGGCGGGGCCGGTAGACGAGTAGCACCAGTGCAAGCAACAAAAAGCAGCAGACCGATTGCCTCACCTAGGGTCGAGGTGAATGTGGGTAGGTAGGGGAGTACTAGGAGCAAGGAAGGGAGTAGGACGAAAAGGGAGAGCAAGGAGTAAGTAAAAGGAAAGAGGAATAGAAGGAGTAAGTGCAGAAAGGGAGTAGGGGAAAGAGTAGTAGTAGAACCAGAGTTTAGATGTAAGAGTTGATACTAGATAGCAGTACAGCCAAGAGGAAATCTTGACCCAGCAATTCCTATATGGAGGGGGGCGTCTGGTTTCGAGACGAGCGTTTTGGAATCCCTGAAAGAGCTACCACTACAGTACTTGTACACTCGCAGCACAAGCAGCATATAACGCACACCAAAAAAGAGGTGATGAATAAAGATAAAAAAAAAAAAAAAAAAGGCTGCCGAATTCTCTTGTGCCGGTAGTGGTGATAGCTTTTGAGATTGATGCTTGGTATAATATGGTATAAGGTATGATGGATACGGGTGAATTCGCGTTGTCCCTCTTTCTCTTCTCCCTTTCTTTCACCCCTTCCTTCAGACCTTCCTTTTCCCCGTTCCATCGAATGTCGGTGTTCCCCCTTCCGTCTCCCTTGTCTTGCCTTGTTCCTCTGGATCTAGATAGATCCCTCTATCAAAAAAGTCCAGGGGTACTAAAGCAGTAGTACGTATTGGCAATACGGCAGCAACGGAGGCGGTTGTAGCAACGTTCTAGCCTCTCAATTACTCACCTGCTCTCGCTATGGTACCCCGTTTGCCTCCTCGCCCCACAAATGTACTGTACAAGGAACGGTAAGATTGTACTATACTTACCCATCTCTCAATCAAACACTGCAAGAAGCTGCCCATATCTCCCCAGGCATTGAGTACTAACGCAGGGGACAGGAGTACTTCTTGCAGTGGAGGACCATGGAGCCCGTGTGGATGAATTGCGGTGCGTACAAGAGAAAAGTATGAATTGTGTCGGAGCACCAGCTGACTTTCAATGACCGGTTAGTTAGATGAAGGACAGGTGCTCGGTACTGTCGCGTTGAGGAACAACAGGCAGAAAGCAGCAGCAGGAGGAGTACAAGCAACAGAAGCACACACAGGTAAAACGACCAAACACCAAAGCAAAACGGCTACCCATTCCCAGGACAGCCATATATACGGGTAAAGTGTAGACAAGCAACACCACAACCCATCAAAGCCAGCCCAGCCCAACCAACCGCCAACAATCACCCAAGAACGAACCACTGCGCGCACATGCGGTAGAAAACAGTAACAAGCAAAGCAACAAGCAACAAGCAACAAGCAACGAAATAGCAAATAGTGAGAAACAATAAAGAATAAAAAACGGACACAAACGAAGGGCGGGGTGTGGGTTTGGGATTGGGATTGGATGTGGAAAAGTGTACCGGGAGTTGTTTCATATTGATTGTCGCGAGTGCTCGAGCGCGCACGCAGTACCGGAGTTTTTGCAACAAAAAGTTCCCGAGGGAGGCTGACTGGGGTACAGCACTGTGCAGTACTGTACTCTACTACCCGTAGAAGTGTAGGGCTTTCTTTCTTTTCTTTTCTTTTCTTTCCTTTCTTTTTTTCTTTTTTCTCTTTAATTCTGGTCCTTTCCCAATTCCTATATTTTTCTTTTTCCTTTGTTTTTCTCCCTTTTTGTTTTCATCCCCATTCTCGCACCTCGTTCTCGTTCTCGCTCTCAATTCTCAATCCCTTCACGTTTCTGGTCTTCCTCCCTTCGCAAGAAGGGAGGGAAGAAATGAAAACGAGAGAGAGAAGGGAATCGAACGAGAAAGCTTGAGGAAGAGCGATCCGGCTAGCAACATCATCGAGCAGCGGCTGCAATGGGAGCAGCAGTAACGACTGCTGGATCATAGATTGATCATGGCACGGCATGCAGGCATCGAGCATTGAAGTGCGAGAAAGAAGAGAATACCGTACGGTATCATACCGCCAGTGGTAAGAGAGATAGTGAGGTGAGCGGGTGTGGGTGTGTGGGTGGTGCTGGAGCTGGCTGGCATTTTGGGTCAAAAGAAGCTGGCACTTGTGCATCGCATCGTTCGTGCGCTTGATTTTTTTTTTTTTGCTGGCATAATTTAGTCCCTCTTTCGCGTTTTCGCTTCACTCACCTTATCCGCCTAGTCCCGCTGCCCTAGCGCGCCGTTGGACATGGGACGTAGGGTACTGTGCTGTACCTGTTCTGTGGACTACCGGTTCTCGAGTGCTAGTAGATAATACAGTATACTATGATGATACAAGTACCTATGATACTCGAGTAGAGTGCTCGAGCTGTCGGTTGAGATCCCCACACTAGATCACTCGAGTGCTCGAGCACTACTAGCACGGTAACCCCAATTATGATGCTTCCCTGTCCTTCCCTGGAAACAAGCTCCGTTCAATTGACGGATCCAGCTTCACAGTGATACAGGCGTTAACGTTAAAATTACCCTCCAACCACAGCACGGTGACCGTGCCGGTAACTTATTGCACAACGGCCAATGAACTGCCAGTGGGCTGGCTGCCAATGAACCGCCAACCGCTAGAAAGCGCTCTGCAACCACCACCATCTGCCATCACCACCGCAACCCTCGATTCAATGAACTGCACCCAAGCGGACACTGATATACAAGTATGGTAGCGCAGAAACCCTTTTTCCCCTCCCTCTCCCTTTCCCCCGATAAATCTATCACAGATATTTCTTTTCCCTCGTCCCACTCACTTCGCTTCTCACGTCCCACCCCACCTCCTCTATCATAAT